GTGGCAGAAATATCCGGAAAACTTTATATCAATTAATTGTATAAACACACCAGGATTGGCGAATGCAACTTTGTCACTTTTCAAAACGTTTGGATGAAGACTTGGAGGATAAGTTACATTCCTTTAGGACAACGGAAGGTAGTTCCAATCATATTCCAACTAATACTTTGCCAAACGAATATGGTGGTACAGTGCAGAAATTAACAGGTAATTACTGTAAATTAAAACAAAGAACTTTGACTAGGACATTGAACAATAATGAATGTTTCTTATTATATAAACAAGAAATTGAAAGGAAAAATTTTTCATATTTAAGATAGCAATAATTATTTAGATAATAATTTAACGAATTTACATATTTTTCTATGTCTGCCATATTGATATAATTTAATTGGTGTAATATACAATGTAATATTTAATTCATGTAATATACATTTAAATGTAATATATCAATTTTATTATGTTTTTAGATAATTGGAAGAAATTGGTCGAAGAGAATCGTAATTTTATCAATGATGAAAAATATAAAAAATATAAGACACTAGATCTAAAGTACTAAAACTAAAGTAAAAAACTAAAGTACTAAAATAACTGAGCGATATTAGCGACACAGATTTCTACATACTGGTAACGTCTTATGTAACATAATAAGTTTATGTATTATAATAAACCCAAAATAAAGAAGGATTGCGTATGCGTGAGATAAATGCCCGAAGAAATGCAGTAAACGTAACTTTTCTAGCGCTCGTAAAAATTGATCACCTAAAGAAAAATTTCAAAAAGTCGAAATGTTGGAATTTAATATTAAGACACTTAAATATTACAGTGTTTTTTTTATAAATAATTCGATCTCATTCGATTTCGAATGAAATTATTATGTGTAATAATAAAAACTGAGTGACAAAATATATATGTTTAATAAAAATAAATTTATAAAATATTTTTATCAAATCCAATAGTTTTATTTCTTATTTTCTTATATGTTATGTCCCAAAATTAGATTAACTTGCACAGACTTCTGACCGCTATATATTAATATGTGCGCATATATCCATCATTAGACACTTTTGTGATGCATGCACCAAATTTCTATATAAGAATTGACATCATTTACACATAAGGAGTGATCTAGGAATATATAGAAATTTGACGATATTGTATACAAGGTGTCCCAGACTTACCGTGACATCCGTTAATGGCAGATTCCTGAAATCATTTCGAGATGAAAAGTCTAATACCAAAATTTCGTTACAATAGTTTTCAATTTATAAGGGTTTAAAGCTGACTAATCAAATTGTCTGAAATTCGCGCGCTCAGGCACGGCATGTTGCACAGTAGTAAAGGTGTTTTCAAACATCAATTCTATTTTGCGAATTGATATAATTCCACGTTCATTGTTGTAGATATCGTGCAAAGTTTGCCATATCAGATATCGGCAGCAGAAACGCAGCAGAAATCGAACACAATGTGCCGTCATGACGTGATGACAAAATTGTAGCAGAAATCAAATAAGCCCTGCTAACATAACTTGTTGGCAAGTTAACCACAGAAATCGAGTAAATTCTGTTTTGTAAATATTTAAATTGTTATTACTAAAAAATTTTGTAAAAATAGTCTTATTATTTCTTCCATCTCTTATTTTAGTAAGAATAATTTTTAATTATTTTACTAATGATAAATTAATATATTTTACAGCACAAATAAATTATAAAAAGCTTAAAGATATAAGTTATGATTCTTTTGCTTCTTATATCGTATCAAATAATGTATCAAACATTGTACATTTTATATAATGTACTATTTCCCAGGTACTACATTACGTTAACTACTTTATTGGACAATTACGTATCAATTACGCATCAAGCGCATACATAAAAATATGTAAATAATAAATGTGTGTTTAAATGTTAAAGATGATTTCGCTTATATAGAAAGTTTGATAAATTTTGCCTGCGAGAAACGGACGCAATCTAATGATAGTTTTCTAATTATTTTGTTCAATGATAGACGCAGAGTTTTGTACGATTTCTGTTGCCGATTTGTTGGCAAATTATGCCAGCAAGCTCTACTTGATTTCTGTTACAATTTTGCCGCCACAACGTGACGGCACACTATGCACGATTTCTGCTGCGTTTCTGTCGACACACTGATAAAGATCGTGCTTTGTACCTGTCGAAATTTTATCATCACGATGTGATGGCACACTGTACTTTGTTTCTGCTGCGTCTCTGCTGCCAGTATCTGATCGTTACAGATCGTGTTGCATTCTTGCTGCATTTCTGCTGTCACAGTGTAAAAGAATAAATATGCCAGATATTTACTACATTTTTGCAACATGTCTTGACGCATATCATGCTAAATTTTGGAGTATTTTCTGTTGAATATTGTGACAACGCAAAATGCTTGAATTCTGATGTATTTATGATGACAAGCTTTGTTCAATTTTTACAGCATTTTTGCAACATGTTATGATGCAAAGCTTACTCGATATGTGTTGCATTTTTGCTGGCAGTATCTGCCAGCAGCCCATGCTGGATTGCTATTCAATTTTTGCCGGCATAACATGTATAACTTCGCAATTTATGCACGTTTGGCACTTTTGGCACGTTTTGCTCTCTGAATATGTGCAAATCTAATAAAAAAAAATCAAATGAAAAAGAAATCAAATTATAAGTTCTAAGTATAAGATAATAAACAAGAAAGATAATAAACACACTTGTCTACGTCTTTACATAATTTAAGGATATAAACTTTACTAAAAGTTTTCCTTCATATTTTATTTGATTTTTCATATTATATAGTGTTCATGTATCGCTATAAACTTCTGTATACTCGTAGGTTTTTCTTTATATATAAGTGATGCCAATTCTTATGTACAAATTTAGTGCATGCATCACAAAAATGTCATCTAATGATGGATATTTGTATATGTATGCGTATTTGTATTTGTATGTGCACACATTAGTATACAGAAGTCTATGATTTTGACAGGTTAATTATGTATATACATAACGACATAATGACATAATATATAAGGAAATAAACGATAAGACTATTGATAAAATCATTTTATAAATTTATTTTTATTAAACGTATATATTTTATCATTCAGTTTTTATTATTACATATGGATAATAATTTCATTCGAAATCGAATGAGACCGAATTATGTAAAAAAATATTCTAATAATTAATTGTCTCAGTATAAAATTCCAATCTTTATCTATTCCCTTTTTCCTTTGAATAATCAATTTTTACAAGAGCTAGGAAGGTTACGTTTGCTGCATTCCTTTGGGCACTTATCTCACACATACGCGTCCTCTTATTTTAAGTTTATTATACATAAACTTATACATAAGAAGTTACCAGTATGTAGAAATTTGTGTGTATCGCTCATTTATTTCAGCGCTTCGATCTATTGTCATCTTATATTTTTCATCATCGATAAACCAGTCACGATTCTCTTCGATCAATTTCCTCCAATAATCTAAAAACATAATAAAATTTATATATTATATTTAAATATATATTACGTGAATTATAATATACATCGATTACGATCTTAAATATGAAAAATTCACTAAACCAATTTGTTTTAATTTATAGTAATTACCTGTTAATTCCTGTACTGGACCCCCAGAACCACCATATTCATTTGGCAAAATATTAGCTGGAATATCATTAAAACTACCTTCTGTTGTCCTGGAGGAATGAATCTTTTTTTTCAAGTCTTCATTCATAAACGTTTTGAAAAGTGACAAAGTTGCATCCGCAAATCCTGGTGTATTTATGAAGTTAATTGTTACAAAGTTTGCTGGATATTTCTGCCACAAATGTATCAAATTTATCATAACACGGGGTCCAAATGCAGTAATATGATCCAAACTCAAACCGGATAAATCCATATATAAAACGTAGCCATATATTGATGTTTCAACATAATTTCTTAGCCTTATATCCCACATCATTATGCCAATCTGAAAAGATTAATCATTTAAAAACATAAATGCATGCTAAAAAAACTTCGATTTGAATTTTTGCAATACCATCGTTATAACTCGCATTGCTGCACCTATCTACAAGGTGACTCATTTTATTTTATTTGATTTATTTGACAGTCAAACATTTGAAAATCGCGAGATTTAAAAAATGTATTAGGTAAAAGTTATAAAATTTGGTAAGGGTCACAAGATTATGATGTTGACTTATTTGCAATGAAGTTACTATTAATACTTTTTTTACGGTTGTTATCTTTTAATAGAATTATATATTTTCTTGTATATAATAAAGATATAGATTTTTAAATCTTTTTAATTATATTGTGAATATAATAGTATTATGATATCAAAAGGAATTATCAAAAGGTCAATAATTTAGCAGATGTTATATTTTTTTTATTCTAGCTATTTTTATATAAAATATAAAATGTGCTAGAATAAAAACGTGAAAAATATTTCTTCATAATTGAACCTTAATACTTTTATACACAAAGAGATAATGAGACTATATTTCTATAAAGAAAGAATGTAGTTTCGAAAAAGAATTGTATACTTGCATATAATTAATTATATAATTGTTTAAAGTAACTGTGTATCTCTTTCTTTTCTATTAATTTGTCTTAAATTTTGTATTTAAAAATTAAAGTACAGTTATGAAAAAATAAATAGTTTACAAGATATTTCATATTTTATGTCAGAATATATTAAAATAAAATATAAAATATCTCGTAAAACTATTGACTTTTTGATAAATGTATCTTAATACTTTCATACTTAGAATAACTATAGATCATATTAACAAAAATATTGTAGGATTGTTAGATGATAAACGAATATATGTACATATATAGTTGAATAAAAGATAATAATTTTATTAAATATGAGAATCCAATGAAAATGAAAGCTTATGCAAGAGCAATTAGTTAAAATTAGTTAAAATTACGAGGAAGCAAAGTAGGAACTGTACACTATTATTATGTATGCTATTATGTATGCTATGTATATTATTATTAAAATTCATCGCTGAAGAATTTTTTATATTTAAGATTATAATCGATGTATATTATAATTCACGTAATATACATTTAAATATAATATATAAATTTTATTATATTTTTAGATTATTGGAGGAAATTGATTGAAGAGAATCGTGACTGAAAAAATATAAGATGACAGTAGATCGAAGCGCTGAAATAAATGAGCGATACACACAAATTTTTATATACTGGTAATTTCTTATATATAAGCTTATGTATAATAAATCCAAAATAAGAGGATGCGCGTGAGATAAGTGCCCGAAGGAATGCAGCAAATGTAACCTTCCTAGCGCTTGTAAAAATTGATCATTCAAAGGAAAAAGGGTAAAGGTTGGAATTTTATACTAAGACAAATATTAAAGTATTTCTTTATAAATTCGGTCTCATTCGATTTCTAATGAAATTATTATCCATATGTAATAATAAAAACTGAGTGATAAAATATATATGTCAATCAATCCAATTAATATACCAAATAGCTTATCTAAATAATGTCCATATAACTTGTCACTTTCCTAGTAATTAGTCCGCCGGAAATATAGTCTCTTAAAACACTTTGAACTCTTATTGTAGTCTTTCTTCCGTTTAACGACAACTCTTTTATCTCTTCTTTCGTTCTCTGTCTTACGTGGCTCTTTTCAGACTTGTCTAAAATCGTTATGCGTGTTTATCTCGCACCGCGCGGATACACTTGCGAACGCGACTGGCAGTGATCGATGATCGATTTCGTCTAGGAATATTCCAATTGACTCTGCATCAAAATCGATCTCTTCTATTCTCCTACAATATATAATTTTATTTTAAAAAGAATGGCAATCATAAAGAAATATCGACAGTGATTTCATTCGCAAATGAATCAAATATGACAACATGTAGTCGCCTCTAGACCTAACATCTTTTGTCTGATACATTTTCTAACACCACGGGATTTCCAAATATTTGACTGTCAAAAATAAAATGGACACCCTAACTAGAACTTTCAAAAAATGTGTAAATATTTTTTAACATTTTAGAAACTAAACATTTTCAAAAAATGCCTCATATAAAAGTTGTACGCTTTTAAATAGCGCATTACATAGCATGATTAGCGCAATATTAGCATGATCTCAAATAGTTAAATAGTTATAAAAATCACGTAAAAATCATTTTAAAATTTTTAAATAAAAACTCATTTTTTATTCTTTACGTGTGTGTACGTGTATGCGTGCGCGCGCGCGCGCGTGCATAGATGTATGAATGAGTATGGGGATAGATATTCACACTTATATTCATTGTGGATGTGGATACCGGTATGTGAAGCGATATACATACATAGGCGCATTCACGTACGCACGCACACACACATATGAGAGATCGAGAGACACAATCGTGGCTCGTCGCCAAGTGGAAGCGTCAGCGCTTCACGAGACCGGCCATGTCTCTTTACGCGACTCTGCGAATTGCTAAGTATCAAGATTATCGTCTCAATGACGGCTGAATCAATCAAGTTCTAAATAGATGCAATCAATAGTTTAGATTTAAATTATATAATAAAAGTATTTTTAGTTTTTTCTACGTGTCCTGTGAGCGAAGATATTACAAAGTCCAATTTCTAGAAATTTACTTTTAAAAAACGTCATTATAATTGTCATCATTATTATCATCGTCGCCGTCCGTAAGCTACGGTTGCAATTTTCGCCATTACGCGGCAGCGCCGATGTAGTCCTCAGCGCGAAATATGAATGTTATATAATTTCATGGTCATTCCACAGTCTCTCTGCCCGATATTTTCTCTCTTCTCGCAATCTCTCCGGATATCTCCGCATCCGTTCCGCAACTTTTCCGCATATTTCCGCAATCCTCCCGTAATTTTTCCGTATATCTCTACAACCATTCCGTAATTTTCTCACAATTTCCGTATATCTCCGCAATCATTCCGCTACTCTTTCATAATCTTTCCGCATATCTTTGCAGCAATTCCGCAACCATTCTACAACTCTTTCATAATCCTTCCGCATATCATAGCATCTTTTCCACAACCATTCCGCGACCACTCCGCATTCCGTAATTCTTTCCGCACATCTCCGTAACCATTTCACAAGTCTCTCATAATCTTTCCGTAATTTTTCTGCAACCTTTCCGCATATCTTTGCACTTCTTCCGCAACTCTTCCGCAACCTTCCTGGAACTGCAACTCATCTTTGCAACATATCTTTGCATCTCCTCCGCAACATTTCCGCAACTATTCCGTAACTATTCCACAACTCTTTCACAATTTTTCCACATATTTTTGCATTTCTTCTGCAATTCTTCCTTTAAAATTTTTCTGCCGCCATTTTGAAAATATTTATTTTTAATTATACGAGCTTCATATTCGATATTTATATATGTTTATTTAGGGCGAACATTTTGGCACAGGTGTGAAATTCCAAAAATATTTGAAATTCCAAAAATATTTTCAAATTTTATTTTAACAGTCTGTAGACGTAAAGAACTATAAATAACGCAATTTTGTATATAATTTTAAATTTTTCGTCATTTAAAAAATTTTTATTTTTATTCATGACCTATGGACCTACAAAAGTGACGTTAAAGTTTATAGATATAAAGATATAAAAGATTTTATTAATCGAATAGAAAATTATTTGACATCACATAAAAATTAAAATATTTTACAAATATGAACAAGATTTTGTCCAAAACCAAACTAACATAAAATTCGGAGCTATATGAGCTGTAATTCGCCGATTTTATTGAAACTCAGTACATACATTTATATTAAGAGCAATTAAATTATTTAAGATTTTTTATTAATACACTTAATGTAAACATTACCATTTAATTTTGACTTAAATTCTTAACTTACAAATATTTAGGAATTAGATTAATTTACCTTAATAAAATCAAATTAGAGGTAAATTATTATTAATAATTCAACCGAAATATATAAAATTTCTAGAAATATATAAAATTAATCTAATAATAATGTTATTAATACATTTATGTACTTGTTCATATTTTATTTAAAGATTATATAATTTTCTTAATGTCTTCAATATTAAGCTTTAAATCTGTATCTGTAAATTTAATATAGTAACTTTAAAGTAATTCGAAAACGAAATAGCGCGGTAAACAATGCGCAATTAAGTTACATTCTTCATTTATTTTCGATACGTTTTAGTTCTAATAATTAAGCCATCTTCAGATATAACGACGAAAATTGAAAGGCCGACGAAACTCTACCATGGCACAGCAAACTGTTTGTCGCCCACTTCGGTTACCAAGTCGCGTGAAGGGAAACAATTTAATCGTATCACTAAATGACAACAATAAACTGCATAAAGATCTAGGATCTCTGTATATTTGGATTGCTATATTACTTGCCACAACAGAGTTAAGCCATACATAATACGTGATTAAATTTTAAAGAAATTATAAAAAGTTAAAAATATAAAATAGAAATTAATAAATTAAAATTGAAACACACAAATCAAAAGACAGACAAATAATGAGATAAAAGGTATAAGTATATGTGAGATAAAACAAAATAATACAAGGTCGCAAAATATTTATAATTTGTTGAGAACAGAAACATAGGCATAATGTAGAAACTCCGTGTCTTTGTAAATTTATTATATTATTTTCGTGTAATTTAATGAATAGCATTTCGGAAATCAATCTTTTTTCATAGTCACGTTTGACATCTAAAATTCTAACTTTGTCCCAGAAAAAGTCGTAATTGTGTTCTAATCTGTTCTAATTGTGTTCTATGATTCATAATCATCTGGTATCTGTATTCTACGAATATGACTACGATGCTCATTTAATCTTATTTTAAGTTGCTTCTTAGTTTGTCCTACATAATATTTATCGCAATTGTTGCATTCTATCTTATATATATATCTTATATATCACATTTTTATTGTGTCTGGTGGGATCTTATCTTTATGAACGCATAAAAATCTATTCAATTTATTAATACTAAAGAAAGCTAGTTTAGCATCAAGATCGTTGACTATCGTTCTGAATTTATCAATTGTTAACGGATTAAAAGGTATTATGAAATTTGGTCCTTTGGTCCTTCTATCATTGTCCACCAATTCATTTCCATTTCTAGATATATATATTTGTGTGTCGTTATATTTATAAAATTGGAATTTGAGTCTACGAGAAATGCAATCGAGAATGAAGTTAGGGGGATAATTGTTATTCGGAAGGAAAATCAATTCAAAGTTTTTTTGATGGTACTAGGGATGATAATGAAAAAGCTCTATCCACCAACTCGTACACAACTCCCCCTTTTTGGAATAGAGATTTGTTGCGATAAAAAATTTAAAAATCTCTTTGAGAAAGTTGGTTTATGATCAACCAATCAAAATGATCGCTAATTTCATGATAACTTCTAAGAAGTCCAATTCCGGCCTCTCATCTCAGTTATGAATTACAATCTAAGATGGAAAGAATTGAAAAGTATTTCATTAACTATTAGAAGTATTAACCATATTGGGTGGGATAGCTAATGCAATATCATCCACGTATCGATAATAAAATGGCAGAGCTAACTCCAATTTCTTGATCTCTTCCAGATCTCTCATTATCAAATCTGCCATGATCGAGGACAAGAGAGAACCCATTAGTAATCCGAAAGTTTGCCTATAAATTTGTTTATCAAAAATAAAATAAATAGAATGCAATAGAAAAGAGACAGCTTTCAAAAATTCATCCTTGGGGATATTACAATTTCGTGCTATATCATCCCAGCGTTTGGAGATGCTATCCATAATCTAGAGGAACATTCGTAAACAACGATACTATGTCAAATGAAACCAAAGAGTAATTTCCTTTGATTTGATGACCTGATAGTTTTTTAACTATTTGGAAACTATTTTCTATGCAATACTATGATTTAGGAATGCTCCTCACTAACAGTTTATTAAAGGTTGATGCATAAAAGGGGTTATCGATGACACAATGATTCTGAACAGACATCCTTTAAGGTAATTATAAAATTATAAACAACTAAAAACATATAAATTTTAAAGTAAAAAATTTTTATAGTTCTCTTTACGTCATTTTAATTAAAAATTTTAATCACTTTTTTCGAATTATAAATATTTAACTCTATTTGATTAATTGGTTGATAGATTCATAAGTGAATTAAATTTAAACAACTTGTAGACATTAAAAGAATTTTATAATTAATAAAAACTATTTATTCTTTTAAAATTTATTAAAATTGTTATTATTTTAACTTCAAAAGTTAAGAATATTATATATTATAAGAATATTATATTAATATTAAGAAAAAGTATTCAATTTAAGAGCATCACTCTAATTCTTAAAATGATTAAAATTACTATTACTTACGCGAAGCGAAGTTCCACATGGATTTATAATTTTTCATAATGATGATATAGTACATAATATTTAATATGTACTACCACTGTAATACGGATTAGATTAGATCTTTTGATAGTGGAGCTCTCCCGTAGGGAGGGTGGGAGGTGGAACATACTATCTCCTAACATACACTTCAATGCGAAGCGAGATTCCACATGAGTTTACAACTTTCTGCACAAAATTCAATTCAAATCTATATGTTGATACATTGATAAAAATTAACGTATTTTTCAAACTTTTCTGTATATAATTGTATATAATTTTTCTGTATATAACTTTTTAATAAACAATAACTACTGGTTAAAATCTTTTGATCAAAGTCAAACCTGATGTGTAAAAAAAAATGACGTACAAAAACTTGGCGCACTCGAGTCGCATTTTACGTGTCGTTTCTCGCTTATAACGTCACGATTCCAATATGGCCGCGGCGATTATTCAGAAGCCTTATACTGCTATACGCAATTTAAAACCTTATACCTTTCATATGAAGCATTTTTTTTCGAAAATACTTAGTTTTCAAAATACTTAGTTTTCAAAATACTAAAGGATTTCCACTTGGGAAACTCTATATTTATACGTATTATATATTATAATTATATTAACTATTTTAATTATACCTTTATTAGATCCGATAATTTAGTTGTTTTTGGATCATACAGACAAGGACGTGTGAAGATAACGGATCTTCCTTGATTGTCTGGCTTTCGTAGAAAAAAGAACATTCTAAATGCAAATAAAATATTTCAGTAGTCTTCAGAAAAGTTAAAATCTTTTTACCTTGGCTTTTTATATTAACAAGTTCTTAATTTAAACTTCATCCTTAATAAAATATAATTAATAGAAATGAAAATAGAAATCTTACAAAAAATTCACAAATTTTTATATTTCAATAAATCCTTATGTTTTGAGATATGTGTCATTACCTCAAATCGAATATTGCCTGTAATTCCGGTTGGAATGGATCCTTATTTGTATACCATTCTGGTACATCGGACCGCAATTTGTGATAGTTTTGAATTCTGATTTTAGTTTCCTCGATATCAAACTTACAAATCCTCAAATATGGTAGAATACTAATATCATCTGTAAATGAAGCGTAGTAATCATAGCGTAGTAGTCATACATTCATTTATTCATACATTCATTTACATCATTAATTTATCAGATTTTATATTATTATAATCGTAGTTAAAATAATCAGATTTTAAATTGTGTTTTTGAAAATTCTTTTTAATTTATAAACTAATAATATATTTTATTATACTGTGTTTCCAAGGGAAGAACAAGTATTATCATACAATCATTTAACATGTTTTATGTAACCTCTAGCTCTTTTAACTTATGTAAAAATATATGCAAATATATATGCAAATATCAAACATGTTTATATGCGAAAAATTAAATTTGACCTTGTGAATTAAAACGATCATTTTGATTAAATATTATTTTAAGATTTCAGTATTATAACATTAAGAAACATTAAGAAAAATATAATAAATATTAGAAATTTATAAACATTTTTTTTAATTAACATTTTTAATTTAAATTAAAATTATTACCGAACCACGCCGCACTCTTGCGCATGTTTATTCGGTTTTGAGCCATCTATTCGATAATTGACACTCTTAAAGATTATCCTATTTCTTTAAAAATGATATAATAGCGCGATCATAATAATTCGAGTTAGCGAAATTAACATTAATGAACACGGTATCTTATTTTTATTTTTGTATACATTGAGGATGACTCAAACTAGAGTCGAAAAGTATGTTATATATTTTTAAATTGTAATAAAGAATTGCGCTCCGTAAATAGCGCTGATTCTCATTTGCCTTTTTACTACTTCATATCTAATACCAAGAATCATCTCATTAATATTAAAAATTATTATTGTATAATAAAATTATTGTATATAAGTTAGTGAAGTATATCTGAACAAATAAAAAAACAAAATTATTTTAAGCTTATCTTAGCTAACTCTGAGAATTAATGGAATAAATTATTGTTATATAATAACATCCCACCGATATATGCATAATTATGATCTTGAGAGCATGCAAATCACAATTAGTTGCCGTATCAATTTCTTTGCGTCATTTCATTGCGTCAGAGCAGAATATATCTTGAATATTTCCACTATGAAAACATTATTTTAATTAAATATTAGAATACATAATTATAAATAATCCAACAAATGCTTGACTCACATTGTGTTTTACTAAGCTAAATACCTAATTAAACTTAATTTCTCAATTGTCGATGAAAGACATTGAATTAATAAATTGTAATTAAATGTTATTAAATAATAGTTTGACATATTTGCTATCTTTTATCTTATCTTGAAAATTCTATTTAATACTAGTTAATTTAAGTCTGATTGCGAAAGAATCATATGAGTGGAAGGATGAATATGAGAGAGAAAAGATTATTATAATAAGAATGGCTGGGATACAAAAGAATTAGAAAAATTAGATAATAAAAGGGAAGAAATACAGGAAAAAGAATTAATAGAGGAAAGGAAACGCAAAGGCAATGGAAAGATAATACAATTCTAGGGGCAAAGATATAATATCTCTATAAGAAATATAAAGAGACAGAAATAAAAAGGCAAGACCCAAAATAATTAAAGGAAGAAATTCTTAGAATTAGTACAGGGGATGAAATTAGAATTTTCGTTAAATTAAGATGTTCTAATCTGGAGGAAAGAAATAAATATTGGTTAGAAAAAGATCTATGGGGATATTTATTTTGCAGAGAGAGCGAGGATTGAGCATTATGTGACTATAGTAATGTGAAGATTATAATTATGTGGAAGACTATAGTAAAACTAAGGGGTGGTAGAATTAGAAAAGGATGAAGAAACAATCACGAATAAATTATAAGATAAAGAATTAGATGAGGTAAACTGACACAAGAAACTGTAATAAAAAAGAAAAAAAAAG